GAGGCGGGGCTCCTCCGGGCAGTGGGGTGTGCACACGCTGCCTGCCCATGGGGGAGCCGTCAGCCCGCCCCAGCCTCTGCCCACCCCTGCTGACCTCTCATGGAGCCCGAGGAGCAGCTCGAGGCCATCTGTGGCGGCCAGGAGAAAGCAGAACAAGCGAGGAGCGGTGCTGAGTCCTGCAGCCAGTGCCCTTAGCAAAAGACTTGGTCCTCTGGCCCCTGACCCAGCGTGGCTTGCTCTGCTACTCGCTGTGCTCCGCAGTGGCCCTGTGAACAGAGGGTTGTTCCTAGCGCCTGTCAGTGTGTGTGCCGAACACCCGGGCTGAGTACCGTGATGTTGAGCCCGACTGAAATAACCCTAACCCTGCCGCTCCTTCCTTCCCCACCCACCTGCTCTTCTCTTCTCTTACATGCTGCTCAGAGGATGCAAAAGGCTGCTAAAATCAAGAAAAAAGCGGTGTGTAGGACCATTGTCCTGGAATGGTGCTGCCTGCTTGTGTGTCTGTGCTTTCCCCTGTGCAGTGGGGGGCTCCCCAGGGACCTGGATAATACACCGCAGAACCGTTTCCCCCTTCCTTCCCTAGGTGAACATCAGACTTTTGAATGAAACTGCAGAAACTATTTTTTGTTTTGACAGCCCACTCACAGAAGAGTTTAATAGTTGCTCGTGTTTAGTTTTCTGTTTTAGATTCTCCTATGTCCCAAAGCATGGCTAACGCTGTGAGGTCCCCGTTTTATGTGGACATTTTTAGGCGGCAGCATGATCTATCCAGTGTTCGTAGGGCCTCCTGTTCAGCGTGAATTACTTGTTCTGGCACCAAGATATATTGTTTCATTTACCAAATCAGGATGCCAAGTAGCTCAGTTTGCCCCTGAGATGCGTTCTCTGTTGACAGTAATTTTTGGAGCTTGAGCAGACTTTAAAAGAAGAACAACCAGGTGGATGTGTAGTCCTGGATGTGTAGTCCTTTGTCAAGCTGGTCATTCGGTGACGACTGGTGATTTTCTAACTGCCTTCCTCATATGAAAGTTCTCAAATGCTTGGTGTGGTAAAGACCAGGGAGGGTCCGTGGAGACTTGGTACTGGTCATTGCCTGCCGTTGCCTTCTGCTTGCACAGTAAGAGGTGCACTTATCCCTCCCATGCTGTACTAATGGGATTTCCTGGCACTATGGCCAGAGGACCCCATCTGCAGGCCCCCTGTGCCTGCGGTGAATGTTCTGTCCATCTCCCGTGGCCAGAGAGAAGGGACACACTCGCATCCCTGTACCCTCGTGGTGCTTCCTCTGGGTGCCTCTGGGCAAAGCAGGATGGCCCACCGTAGCAGACCTGAAGTTGCCCCCCACAGCCTCTCAGTGCACCCCGGGGCTGCCCCTGGGAGCTGCAGAATCAGAGGTCCTGTGGAGGGGCTGGGCACAGGCACACCCAGCTGAGATAGGCCTCAGTGGCCAGGTGTCATTTGGCGACAAGTGTTTCTTCCTTCTGAGCAATGACGTGTTCAGGACCACTTGCCCAGAGCTGGCCAGGCAAACGCGGATGGCCGAGGCCATCACTGTCATACCAAGCCCACCCTCACTTTCTGGCGTCCCCCTGTGGGATGTGAGCTGTTGGCCCCCTCCCTCGGCCCACCAGGGTATACTATGGGTGAGCCTTCCCCTTCCGGTTATGGTTTGGGTTTCGGCACCATCCCATTCCTCACCACTCGAACCTGCCCTCTTCCTGTACGAGGAGACGAGCCTTCCCACCTTGTCAGTGACTCCAGAACCTACCCACAACTTTTCCGACTTGCTTCTGCCTTTGACCCTCTGTTGAGCGAGGAGGTTTTGGGCTACAATCCCCAGAATGTAACTTTTACAAGTCTGTTAGTGGTGCCTTTAACCTGATTTTTTTAAAACAGAGAAAAATCTCCTCCACAGTCCTCAACACTGTGTTCCAGACCGATTGTTTAGGCCTCTGCTCTTCTCCTGATTAGTTAAAAGCAGCATCGGCCTGGGATGCCCTGAAAGCCCACAAGATCTTTTCCTTTGAAAAATGAGCTAAAATACAAATTTATCGTGATCATACAAGGCCTCTCTGTGACTCCGAATGCTTGAGAAATAGTCAGCAGAGAGATTTTGGAGTTGAGGTTTTGCTAGTGAGGTTATTAAATCACAGTTTCTGCTGTTTGGAAGTGGAGGATGTACCAGCGTGGGCTCCCCAGTGGCCGCACTGAATTACCCACCCCACCGGGCAGGCGGGTGGAGCCTGCTTCCCACGCAGCAGTAATTAGGGTTCTCACAGGTGGAAAAACCAATTAAAGGCTGCCCTGCTTTGGGGCAGATCTTGAGTAGTTTGCTCAGCTTCCAAAAACAGTGCATGGAAACCTAGCTCACAGCTGTACACCAAGCTTCCCCCGCCGGAGGCAACAAATCTCGGGCATTTGTGTGTCCGCTTCTCGGGGTCACCGTGAGGCGCCCCCAGGCCCGCCCCGAGTCTCGCTCTCCTTATGGATCCACAGCGCTGTGCCTGTTCAAACCTGAAAGGAAGGGCCGACGTTTGAATCCAGCTTCTCTGAAAATGCTGTCCCTGGGGATACTTGGAGTCCCCTATCTAAGAAACAGAGCTTTTAATCGAATGGCGCTGCGCCTTCACGGAACTCCACAGGGGCGCGCAGAGGGCCCCAGCCTGCTGCAGAGAGGAGGGGCTCCGGCGCAAGACCCCCGGCAGCTGCTCCCTTGCTGTTCAAGCCTCCCAGAGACACCTCGCCTCCCTCTCCTCTGTGCCTTTTACACACTGCCCTGGGGACGCACACGCAGCTCTGGATTCCAAGCCAGGCTTGTAGATTTCCAGTGGCTGCTCCATTCGGAAGTAGCATTTCCATCCACACGGACTCGGGGTGATCGGGAAGCCCGCCCGGCCTTGGTTGGTGTGGACGTCGCGATTTGTAATTGCGTCTCGTGTCCTTCCTTAGAACTCCGAGGGGGACGCCCAGACCTTGACAGAAGTGGACCTCTTCATCTCCACGCAGAGGATCAAAGTTTTAAATGCGGACACACAGGTGAGTACTCAGAGAACGGCTGTCCGAGGCCGAACCTTGGGAACCCTGGAGAACACAGTCCGGCGGCGGAAGCGTTTCCCGGACTGCGGGAGGGAACCGTGTCCCCAGGGTGGCGATGCTGCAGCCCGGATCTTGGGTGAATTGTGGCTGTGGAGAGTAGCGCAAGCTGCAGGGGGTCACACAGAAGGGTTAAAGCCAGCTGGGCGATTGTGAGAAAGCGCAGCAGGGATTACCTAGGGACGGCGCGAGGGGGGACGGCGAGAGGCCCACGGTCAGAACCCTAGAAGGGCCTCCCCACAGGCCCCCACGCTCAGCCTGCAAACCCAGCTGGAGGCGGCACTCGGGATGGCCTGCGTCTCCGCACAGTGATCGCGCGTTCCCCTGTGATGCCTTTGCCTCCTGCCAGGACAGCTTGTGCCTGACGGAGATTCTGTTATATTTTCCGGGCTTCAGTCATCCCGTGGAACTTACCTTTGAAAGGGAAAACAGCGAAACATATAAATGAGCCAAAAGGGACCGTGTGTGAAACGTAAAGGACTGCAGAGCGGAGATGGGCAGTGAGGGGCGGGAGGCCGGGGGTGCTGAGTGGAGGCCAGGGCTGGGGAAGGCCCAAGGCCGTGCTTCCGGCTGGCATTTGGTAGGTGAGGACTCAGGAAGAGAGAGGGGAGGGGCCGCTCAGCTCGGCCCAGGTGAGGGTGGCCTGATGCCCAGGGTGAAGGCGCCTTCTTTTCTTTGGCACGGAATCTGCCAGGGATACTCTGGCCCGGTGGGTACCCAGACCCCCACGACTCAGTGCTTTCACCATGCACTGATGGTCTTGCCTTGATTGAGTGTTCAGTATTTTTAATTATGTGACACTCTGTGAAAAAGTGTTTTCTGCTTTTGTTTCCCCTCCCTCTTCCTTGCTGTGGTCTTCGGGATCCTCTCTGTCTCGCTGTGTCTGTGTGTGTGTGTCTCTCCCTCTCTGTCTCTCTCTGTCTCCCTCTCCCCTCTCCCCGCTCTCTCCAAACTTGTGTTTTCATTTTGGCATCCTCCTGAGAAGATATGTTTTCTGCCCCAGTCATGGAATCAGCCATTCCTTCACAGGACTATGGGTTCCTTTGAGTGGGCAGTGATTCAGAAACAGAGGGCTGGGTGCTAGGTGGGCTCATGCTTCTGGGGTGTCCTCGCTCCTGGGCGCTGGCAGGTGACAGAGGGAGACAGTGTAAAGGGCCATGCGTTCACTTTGGCGCCTCCTAGTGGTGGCGGAGGGTTCTCTTCTCCACCCCCAATTCCACACGCACCCACGTTCCTCCACATAGTCCAGGTTCCCAATCTTAGGGTCCCCTTTTCTTCCACTGTCTGTGTTAGTCAGGTTTCTATGACTGTAGTAAAAGAACTCTTTAAGTTGAGATGATCAACTTGGAAAGAGGAAAGGTTTATGTCAGCGTGGTTCTGGAGGTTTCAGTCCATGGTAAGAAGGCCCATGGCGGCGCGTGATGGTGGAGAAAACCGCTCACCTCACGGTGGCTGAGAGGCAAAGAGAGTGGGAAGGGTGGGCCAGGGGCTGATGTCCCCTCTGCTGGGCCTCGCTCCTTCCAGGTTCAGCCCAATAGTGCCGTGGGATAGGGACCAAGCCTGCAATCCACATTTTGGATCCAAACTGTAGTATTCGTTCCTGCTGTCTACACATGGCCCATATCACCGGGCTGTGGGGCAAGCAAGGGAAGCTGAGCAGATGGCCGGTGAGCTGGCTGTCACCTCCTCAGGGCTCAGGGGCCTGCAGTGGATGAGAAGTGCTGGGAGCGCTGAGCTCCTCCCTTGCTTCCCTACTCAAGGAGAAGCCTCACATTCGGGGGCAGAGGATGCAACAGGGCTGACCCCATCCTGTGGTTTAAGCCATGGCCCACTTCCCACCCCAGTGCCTTGTTGCCTGCCCACTCACCAAGGCCCTCAGTACTTCCTGAGACTGATGCTGTGACTCCTTGTGCATGTCACATGACTGTCCTCCATGTCTGGGCCTGAGCCTTACTCCACTGATCTTTGTGTGGCCCCAGCCACCTCCCCTGGAGCCTTGCCGTTGGTGAGAACTTGGGCAGCGAGCACCTTCGACTTCTGACAGGTCCAGCATCCAATTTGTGATGCTTTTGACTTGCACTTAGTTTTCTCATCTTGTTTTAGCAAACTGTCTGGGCTGATTCTCTCTCCTACCCTTCTGTCCCACATCCTTCTTCTACCCACATCCAGTGGTTCCCTAGGAGATCTGAAGGACGTAGCGTATCGCTTTCCTCGTAACTAAGATATATTACATACTGTGACTACAGAGCAAAATCAGCATGTTGGTCAGCTTTCTGTCACTGCAACAAAGTGCTTGAAATTAATTTACAGGAATGAAGAATTCATTTTGGCTCACAATTTCAGAGGTTTCAGTTCATGGTCATTTGGCCCCAGTGTCTCATGGTGGGAGCACAAGAGAGAGGAAACCGCTCACCTCACAACAGTCAGGGGTCAGAGAGAAACAGGAAAGGACTGGCGTTCCCCATATCCCCTTTAAGGGCAAACCCCAATAGCCTAATTTCCTTCTACCAGGCCCCAGTTCTTAAAGATACCTCTAGTAGTGCCATGGGCTGGGGACCAACCTTTCAAGATGTGGGCATTTGGGAAAGACTCCAGATCCAAAGTGTAAGAGTCAGCAAAGGGAAGGTGCATGGGTTAAAGACAAAGTTAAAGACAAAGCTGGTAATTTTCAGAATCCTCTGTCTGTGCAGTCACATGGGATGTGCCGAAATCTCTTAGCAACAAGTGAGACTACATGTGTGAAGAGTTCTCCCTCAGGACCCTCACGGAGACTCAGCACTGAAGGTCTTGGCCAGAGATCTGTTACCCAGGCACCTTCTGCCTGTCATGTACCACAATTCCAGGCTCCCAGGAGGAAAGAAGTGGTTGGCTTGGGCCATGTCATTGGTACAGAGAAGTCACACTGCCAGTTTGGTGGTGGCACCCCTCCTGAAATCCAGCTTCCCAGCCATCAGCTGAGACCTTAAAGGCAGGCCTCCCTCAGGACTGCTGCCCGGCCTGGGACAGTAAAAGTCACCATTTGGAATGAACTAGAAGAGAAGGTTGCTACAGGAAATTAGTTTGACTGAAAAATAAAAATGTTAGCGGCCGAGCTGGAGAGGTGGGAACAGGTGAGAGAGACTGTGGAGGCCGAGGTGGCCGGAGGCAGGAGGAATGGTGGCCGCCATGTTGGTAGTTGGCCTCTGCCAGTGAGAAGGCTCTGCCATTGACATAAATTGGGAACTGGGGACTGAACTGAGCCAGAAATCAGGAGCTGAAGAGCTACCTGCACCCTTCCCTTTTCCAGTGCTCCTCCTTTGTGTCTTGTGATTATGAACCACTCATAGCCTTGGCCAGTAAAAAGTCCCCCTCTAGACAAATGTGTGCAATATCTGCTGCAAGACAAGGATTCTGTGAAGAAAAAGAGGATACCAGAGGTCACAGAAACAACTGATTTCCTTTTGTGACAGGAGAACAAAGGCACAAAACACCAGCTGATTAGTTTTGTGGAGCCTTTGTGTGCAGGCTTCTTAGGTAGGGGTCATGGGCAAGATGTTCAGTGAAGATTTCTGTCAGATGACAGAAAACCTCAAGAGTAATGGACCAGAGGGTTGGGGGCCAGGGAACTGTAGTAGCCTGTGGAGGCCCATTGCTCAGAATCAGATTTACTCCTTCAGTGTCTCTGGATAGGGCCCAGGAAGAATTCATCTGGTGGAAAATGTTGACCTGGGCGCCTTCCTTCTCTGCAGAACAGAAGTCAGCCAGGCACCATTGAGCCTTCAGGAGAACACAGACCTTGCAGAAAAGGCCCCTTCTCCAGAGCCACGTATGGCCTCTAATTGGGTAGGGGACAGGCTCCCTGCCCTCCTTCAGCAAACAAGCACACCCCAGCCTCAGCTTCCCTGCGTGTAAACAGAGCCCAAAGTTGACCCCTCTGATCACGAGTCACCAGCTTAAAATGCTCTGTTAACGAAGCTATGGTTCTCAGCCAGGACAACCTTGTGTCCTACCTCTGGGAAATTTGGCAATGGCTAGAGATATTTCTGGTTTCCTCCCTTGGGGAGGGGAGATGCCACCGGCTTCCGGGAGTAGAGGCCAGGCATACTGCTGACACAGTCCAGGGACAGGACAGCACTCTGCAGTAATCAGCGATCTCATCCAAATATCAATAGGGCCAAACTAGAGTGACTTCATGGTGTGGCCTTGTAATGTTCCCTGAGTGGTCCAGTCTCCTTCTCCCAACAGGAAACCATGATGGACCATGCCTTGCGTACCATTTCCTACATCGCCGACATCGGGAACATCGTGGTGCTGATGGCCAGACGCCGCATGCCCCGGTCGGCCTCGCAAGACTGCATCGAGACCACACCCGGGGCCCAGGAGGGGAAGAAGCAATACAAGATGATCTGCCACGTGTTCGAGTCTGAGGACGTAAGTCACGCTGGTGCTTGGCAAATCTCCTGGCAGCCTGTGTGCCACCATTAGTGTTTCTAGGGCACCAGGGGTTTGTCCCACTCTTTGGGTTTCTGAAGATAGTGAACATAGTTTTATTTTACTTCGTGGGATAGGTTCCTAACCTCAATAAGTTATAAGTTGAGCGATAGAGAAATATACAAGGAGGCTATTTGTTAGCAGAATTCATTTTATAAAACCTTTCCCTCTCTAGAATAAACCTTATCTTTACCTAACTTTTCTGTTACTAAAATGCATCTTTTCACAGGCCTGGGTTGCATGAAGAGACACAGAAGCCTCTGAGTCGAGCCCTGCCTTTGCATACGTTGTTTCGCTTCATAACCAGTTTTGGTTTCACTTCAAAAAATACTTTTGCAGCCAGGGACGGTAGCACACAGCTATAATCCCAGCCCTGAGGCAAGAGGATCTCGATTTCCAGCACAACCTGGGCAAATGAGTGACTTAGTGGGACCCTGTCTCAAAATATAAAAAGGGCTAGGGGAACAGGGATGTAGCTTAGTACAAGGGCTTTGGATTCATTCCCCAGTACTGCCAAAAAATTGAGGTTTAAAGTGCCATAGATTCGCTAAGAGACCAGAGAGTGGCACGTCCATTGTCCAGCAACTCTGGAGGCTGAAGCAGAAGGGTCATTGCTTGAGCACAGTTGGGGCCAATGTGGGCAGCATAGCAAGGTCCATCTTTTCAAAATTAAAGAGCAAGCTCAGGAGAAGGTGGATTCCAGGCCCCTGAAAGGTTCTCCCACAGGCTGATCCCGCCAGGAGGCTGAGCTGTTGGCAGTGTGTGGTTTGTAAGCACCCCACTCCCTAGTGAAGATAGCTCAAGTCCAGCTTTTGCCAGCAGCCACCCTGGTAGCCACCACAGCTGCCCAGGAGGCCGGAACATTTCTTGTCCACATGAGGACCATGGTCCTAGTGACCCTGGGACCTGGATCACTAGGGAAGAGTCCCGTTATTTTCATAGCTATGAAATAAGGTGTAGAAACTGTATTTGAAGACAGGTTTCGAACTTGTAGATGGGGGCAATCATCTTTTTCCTAGGAAACTGTCACCTGGAGGAGATGCTTTGAAGCAATAGCAGATTTGTAGGAGAGGACGTTATTTACATGCAGACCTGCTCATGAATCCACCTCCACCTCCCACCATGATGCAGAGACCTGTGCACACCTGGACAGGTCTCTTCGAATGACTTGGGGCTTGGACACCTTCGAGTCTGGGTGCTCAGGTGATGGGCAGTGTGAGGGAGAAGCTGGCCAATAGCAGGGGGTGAATGGTTAGCTGGTGTGAGGGCTGAGGAGGAGCAGGGACCAGGGACAGCCTCTGGGGTATGGCCTGTGTGAGTTCCACCAGCAGCCGCCGCTGTCCACCACAGCCATGATTTTCTCAGTTTAGCAGGCAGCAAGGCCCATGGCCCGGTGTGGGGTGTGGGCACAGCCCTTGAAGGAGTGAGAGGGGGGTCTGCTCAATACACTGAGGGCCCAATGGGAGGCTGCAAGAGCAGCCCTGGCCAGGATGGCTGCCGAGTCCCATTTCTGCTCTGTAGAGTGGAGCTCAGCCACACCAGGGCTGAGAGGAGGCTGCCTTGGTGAATGAGCTGGGTCACAGCAGCACAGGGCGTGATGGAGCCAGTCCACCCGTGCCCAGACCCTCACCCAGAGCCTCCCGGCCTCACTGCGGTGACACACATAGGCCTGGCTGTGAGCCAGGGCTAGAGTGGGGCGCACAGAGGGGCCCTCAGCACCGGCCTCGGCCCAGGTAGGGGAAGCCGGACCCAGGATGAGGGAGACACGGGGATGGACTGCCACCAAGATGGGGGTTTCTGGTTGTGCCCAACGGCAGGTGGTCACATCCCCAGGGCATCTCCGCAAGAGCACCCATGGGGTGGGTAGGAGAGGGGATTGTATGTCCCTGGCGGTGTGGGTACCAGGCCAGTGGCCAGTCAGACCTGTTGATGGTGAAGGGATGTGATCCTGTCTGGCTCCCCTACCTATCCAGGTGACTCCTTCAGGTGGGGCACAATGGGAGGCCGAGTGCGGAGCTGTGTGCTCTGAGATCCCAGCTGGGGCAGGCAGTGGCACCCTCCCTCTCCTACCTGATCCCACCACTACCTCCCATCTGGGCACAGAGCTGCTCCTGCTCCTGGCACTGGCCCTGCTCCCGTCCAGGCTGGCGGCGCCATCTGGTGGTACTGGGGCAGCCAGCTCGCTCCCGTCAGTGTGCTGGGCTTGGAACAGCCCTCAGGTGCTCCTTCCTGCGGACCCTGAGGGCCTAATGTTGGCAGGCAATTTGGCCTAGAATCAGCACCTGTTTAAGGAAAGCCTGCATGTCCTGTGACCTGGTGGGAAGTTCTTTTACCAATGCAGCTTACTTCCTACACTTAGAACACACGTTATGTGGTGTGCGAAGGGATCATTGGCCAAACCCCCCTGTTTGCCTGTTTTGGGTCGTGCTGAGCCAAAGCCTGCTATGCAGAGGCTGCTGGAGGGCTGGTGGGGACCTGGGGAGCACAGGGCGGACCCGAGCTGGGGCTTGCCTGGGTTTGGGCTAGGTAGAGGCTCCTGTGCCCTGAAGTGCCACCAAAAGCCCCACTGCTTGTCCACGGCCATACAGCAGTGAGCATGCTCAGTGGGGACCAGGCACTCCGGCCTTCAGCCTTCACCTCTCAATGTCCCTTGGCGGCCGTATGGTGGCAAGCAAGGCCCTGCTTGATGTCTCAGTGTCCAGGCCTATTCCATGTGTCAGTACATCCACAGGAGCGGGCCAGATGAAGCAGAAAGAAGTGATCTGCTCCTTGGGGCGGCCTTCTGTAGTTCAGGAGAAACAGCTGTGCAGTAGACAACTGCTGTATGTCTGTGACTGTCCTGGGAAAACACTTCAAATCTAGTTTTTGGAATAAGATGGAGAAAATGAAAATACAGTACACCTACCAAGCAATAAAATATGACAGCAAAAAATTCATCATCTTCCTTGACTTACTTGTAACCATTCTTTGCCCTGAAACATCTGGGACATAAAGCAGCACAGAGAGGCGTAGTCAAGACTGGGTCATGGTCAGGGGGCAGGAAGGGTCACCCCATGGCCCACGATAGGATGTGGGTTGAAGATGCCTTTCACAAGCCAGGGCCAGAGTTACTGTCCTGTTCCTTTAAGCCCAAGCTGGAGGCTGCTGGACAGCTTCTGTGGGCCTCAGTACCTGTATCTGTGCCTGCTCTCGCCCTGCAGGCCCAGCTCATAGCCCAGTCCATCGGGCAGGCCTTCAGCGTGGCCTACCAGGAATTTCTGAGGGCCAACGGCATCAACCCCGAAGACCTGAGCCAGAAGGAGTACAGCGACATCATCAACACCCAGGAGATGTACAACGATGACCTTATCCACTTCTCAAACTCAGAGAACTGCAAGGAGGTGAGGTGCGGCTGCCAGGGCCTGGGAAGCCCACTCTGCTGGCACCTGCTTCCGTGCTGAGCTTGCAGAACGCAGCCAGGCTGCCTCGTAGGGGACCGGTCCTGGCAGTGCCCAGTGTGTCCCGGCTAAGCTCGCAGGGCTGGGAGGAGGGCACTGCTTCCCTGGGTCCTCATACACACCACTGCCTTTGCTTCAGACTTGGGCTGTCTGCTGGGGAGGTCTGGCTCCTGCCTCAGAGCTGAGCACTTGTGTGTGAAATGAGACCATTCTAACAAAGAAGCTGATTATAATCAGTCTTAATGACCTTGAAAATGTGCTTTTTAATGCTGCTATTATCATCAGCTGGTGCACAGCATCCAGAAGAGATTTGTGAAAAGTGTGTGTGGGTGGCACCTTTAAGATGGGAAACTTGAGCCCTCTGGCAGGACAGTTGTGAAGATGCCAGTAGCAGCTTTGTCCTGGATGTGGCCCATACCTTGAATAAATGCGCCTGTCTGTGAGTGGATGAATGACCCTGGCTGCTTGTTGAATGAATAACCCCCAGTGCACCACAGGCAGTTTCTAAGAGCCGTCCTTGAGACAGGGATCAGATAGGGCTTTCCAGAGCAGAGCAAAGTCCGGTCAGGGCTGGGCACTGGAGTCTGAGCGTGTCTTTTCTGGCCTCTGGGTTTGGCAGGTAGGAGCAGGAGCCAGGACCCCGGAGCCATGCTTGGGGCTGGGGGATTCCTTGCTGGGCATGGAGGGGAGGGACACTGCTGTCAGGTTTATAGGACTTCCGGTGGCCCCAAGGGACCTAGAACCAGAGTAGGCCAGGGCCCCTCCAACATGGCCCCTCCTGGCTGAGATGAACTGGCCTCGGGGGGTCCCAGAGTGGAGCCACGTGGCAGGCTGGGGTCGGCTCATCCTTGCACACTGTGATTCCCTTGCAGCTGCAGCTGGAGAAGCACAAGGGCGAGATCCTGGGTGTGGTGGTTGTGGAGTCGGGCTGGGGCTCCATCCTGCCCACCGTGATCCTGGCAAACATGATGAATGGTGGGCCGGCAGCCCGCTCTGGGAAGCTGAGCATCGGGGACCAGATCATGTCCATCAATGGCACCAGCCTGGTGGGGCTGCCCCTGGCCACCTGCCAGGGTGTCATCAAGGTGGGTGCCTGGGATGCCCTGCCCGGTGGCCTCACCTGACCCACATGGACACCAAAGCCTGAGGACAGTCACAACTCGAAACCAAGACCACATATACCATGCCTGAAATGCCAGGCTGCCCAGGGAGGATGAAGGGGAGGCTGCATCGCTCATAGCCCAGTGGATATGCAGACCCCAGATGGCAGACAGTGCCTGTGGGTGGCAGACCCCGTGACACATCTGTGATCTCCAGCCCCACCACCGTGGATGTCCCCAGCTTCCTTTGGCTGTGGTGCTGGAGGAGGCCCCTCCCACTTCCCTCCAGCCTGGAGGTGAAGGGTGTTCCCGGGGCCAGAACCTCCCAAGAGCAGGCCCGTAGAGCCTCTGCTGGATGGGGATAGCATGGAAAGGCCCCAGGTGGCCTTTGTGGGCCACAGCTCCCAGGCTCTGTGTGCTGCTGCAGGGTCCTCCTGACTCCAGGCAAGCTGCAGCTGTACCCATTGCAAGGATTCGGCCCCTTCCCAGGACTGCTGCAGCCTAGGGCAATCGCTGATGGCCATGTTCTAGGGCCTGAGCTGACCCTGAGCATCAGCCTTGATGCAGCCCCAGAGCCTCCAGCATCCTCAGTGCTCAGTTTCCAAATTTCCAGATCAGGGGGAGAGCATCTGATTTTGACCATGGTGTCCCCACAGTCTCTTCCTTGCTGCATGGTGTCAGCCCCTCCTGTGACCCCTGAGCGTGACCCTTGTGCTCCGCCCATTGGTTCCACTCAGTGGCTCTCAGAACCTGGCTTCGGGCTCCCTAGTGGCTCATTTCTGCCCAGATCATGAAGTGTATCCAAGCAGGGTGGGCCGGCCACAGAGCACACGGTCCCCGGCTGCTCTCACAGGGGCCAGGGCAATGCTGGCCGGGGTGCACACAGAGGGCGTCCACGCCCGGCCGTGACTCCTGTCCTATGCTCTGCAGGGCCTGAAGAACCAGACGCAGGTGAAGCTCAACATCGTCAGCTGTCCCCCTGTCACCACAGTCCTCATCAAGCGACCAGACCTCAAGTACCAGCTGGGCTTCAGCGTGCAGAATGGAATCGTGAGTCCAGCCTCCCACCCTAGGCTGCCTGCATGCATGTCGGCCCGGGTACTGGAGGGGAGTGGGGACGTCAGAGCACCTGTCCGGTGAGGTAGCCATGCCAGCAGCCAGGCCGTGTGGGCATGAGCTTTGCGCGGCTCTGAGGACAGGTCCCGGTGCTGGCCAGGTAGAAAAGAAGGCCCAGGTGTGGCTGTGGAAGGGTCCCTGCAACCCCATAGGACCCATGTCCCGGTGAAGGTTGTCTTTGGCAAATGCCTGCTTTGAAAGGGAGGAAAGCAGGCTTTGCCATTATGGTGGCTTGGTACACGTGCCCAGTGGGGGCACCACACTCACTGTGCTCCACGAGTTCTTGTTCACTCACTCATTCGTTCACCAGTTCAGCAGCCATTTGTGAAATATTGTCAGGCTCTGGGTCAGACACCAAGGAGGCAGGAGAGCTCCCTGGGGTAGGTGAGACTAGGCTTTAGTAAGTGTTGGTCTATCTCAAAATCTGTGCCTGTTTCTCTGTTCACTTCAGAGTTCCCATCTTCCCTTTGACCTGAGTTCAGCTGGAGTGAGTTTCCTTCCTTGTGTTTTCTCTAACAAAGGTCTCAGAAGACAGAACGGGGCCACTGTCTGCACAGTCAAACCTGTGTTGAGTAGTGAAAAGCTGAGGAGGAGAGAGATTGTAAGGAGGATGTGGTGTCCAGGAGAGGGTGTGTGCTGCTAACAGTGTGGAGGAAAGGTACTAGGAGAACATTCTGGAACATTCTGGAAAGACAGCATGTGAGAGGTTCCAGTGTCATCCACAAGCTAGGATTAGGTTGCATAGAGCCAAGGTGTTGTCATAGCACAATAAGGGAGGAGGTTAGTAGACAGGGAAGGGGAGCTCTGTTCTGTGCCTTGTAGGGACCAAATGAGGGTGAGCCAATGAGAGGGAGGCGATCCTGTGATGAGCCCAGGTGCAGGGAGCAGGTGGTGGGCAGCCAGGGGAGAGGGCAGGCTGACAGGTGACAGCCACCTCTTGAGGAGGGGCTGGAGGGGTCTGCAGCTGCCTCCCCACTGATGGGAGCCTGTGTCTGTGCGTGAGTAGCAGAAGGTTGTGGGCAGCAGATGTCCAGAGGTTGCGGGTGCAGAGTTCAGGGTAGCCACAGTTCTAGGTTTTGTGGGACCTGGAGCTGGGGGTAGATGATGCACAGTTCTGAGGGTGAAGTTGCTAGGCCACCCTCCGCAATCCAGGTACACAGGAGAGTACACAGGAGAGGGGTCCTCGGGGTACCATGTGCTTCCGACGCTGGTCAGGGTCTGCGTTCCAGAGTGATGACTGAGGACCCAGCCAGGTTTGGCTCTGAAACCTGGTGGTGTCGAAGGGACACCTTCTTGTTTCACCTTCTGCCTCAGCTTTCCTGTCTGTGAAATGGGGTCGCACTTCCTCCAGGGCCTGTGCTTAGAGTTGTGGGGTGAAGCTGGAACCCAAGAGGTGGCACGTGTGGTGGCTCTCGGGACCTTTCTCCTGGGTTCACTGCAGCTCACCCTGGGTGCCAGCGAGGATTTCAGCTGAAGCAAACCAGTCAGCATGGTTTTGTGCTCACTCCCGTCCATCTCCGCCGTGACCCAGGAAACGGATTCCGGTGGGGCACAAATCAGTCATGCATCCCCGCTTTGCTCCAAGGCCAGGCCTCAGTGCGGGGGCGTCCAACTCACCAAGTGCTGACCCTGCCCTCTGCTCAATCCTTGGAGGTCCAGGCTCAGCACTCTGGGCACTCAGAGACTCAGTGCTACCAGTGCCCCTGCAGGCCAGGCCTGTCCCCTGCCCTGGGCCTGTCCGGTCACTTGCCAGGTCTGATGCCACCTTGGGCTTCTCACTCAGCTGGGGCCTCAAAGGAGAAGAAGTTGGAGGAAACAGCAAGAGACCTGGGGTTGCTGCCACTCGAGTCCAAGTCCCTTGCCCCTCAGCATGGGCAGAACAGGTCCAGGGTCACGAGGGCTGTGGCCTCACTTCCCACCCCCCAGCCTCATTGGCAGGGCCCGGCCTGGTTCCTTGCACCCCTGGTGCTTACTGGACCTGCATCCATGCCCGTCACACTCCCTCAGGTCCCCACCTACCCCGGCCAGGGCCCCAGCCTGGATGCTTCATCCAGCTGGCCTGGGACAGCCCAGGGGGACTGTGGTCTGAGAGTGGCTGGCAGTGAGCAGGGAGTCCTGCCCGTCAGCCTCCATTCACTGACTGTGGGCAGTCCAGGGAGGCAGCTTGGAAATTGTACTTGCCGGGTGCCAGGCGGAGCTGCTGCAGGTTCCTGCTGATTGCTGTAGAGATGTCCCTGTAGCAGGGGGCGGGCCTAACATGCAGGTGAGCAGTCCTATGGACCATGCGCAGTGCTAGGCCGGGGTAAGTCTGGGTGTGGCGTGAGAGGGCTGAGTGGGCATCTGCACAGGGGCCCGTGTGAGTGCATGGGTCTGTGGGCTGGCGCACCTGTACCTCCTTGGCTCCCCGGGCACTGGCTTTGTCCTAGGCCTTTAGGCAGCCTGGTCTAGCTCCAGAACTCGGGCCCTGTTGTGGCTGAGCTGCAGAATCTGCCTCTCCCCATCCCCATTTTTCTTTTATCACCAACTCTCCCAGAACACCTGTTTCTCATGTTTCTGTTTTCTTAGTAATTGTGGTAAAATACACACACCATGAAACTCACTATCTTAACCATTTTGAGTGTAGCGTAGAGAAGTATTGAGTGCACCAGTCTCCAGAACGCCTTCATCTTGCAGAGCTGAGCCTGTTCCCTCCTCATTAAGCGCTGGGAGTACCCATTCCCACCTCAGCCCCTGGTACCCTCCGTAAAGCAGTACCTCCAAAAGCCAGCTGCTTTTTTCTATGAATTTGGCTAACTCTGGATGTCTTGTATAAGTGGAATCAAATAGCATCTGTCCTTTTGCCACTGGCTTGTTCTACTCAGCATTGTCCTCAAGGTTCATCCACACTGTAGCAAGTGTCAGGGGTCCCTTCCTTTCTGTTTAGACTGGATAATCTTCCATTGCGTGGATGATGGGTTTCATCCCTCCACACAGTACTGCATTACACAGGTGCTCAGACTTCTGTTTTCCAGCCTGTCCGAGTACTCACAGTCCCTCTCCTCTTTCTCTCCGGAGTGGGTTATGTAAATCCACCACACCCCAGCAGGCTCTGCCCCTGGGCCGTGAGCATCCCTGTGGCAGTGGCGTCTGGGAGAGTGGCTCAGTTCGAGAGTGGCATTAGCCATCACATTTCACAGGTGAGGACCTAGGGAGACAGGTGAAGTGGCTTGTCCGGGTCTCCCAGCTGAAGAGTGGCAGAGGGAGGATGAAAAGCTCGCGCCTCCTGCCCCTTTGCATGGTGTTAGGGTGACAGTGGTGGGCACACGTGCGGACCAGTACTTTGTCCCCAGTGCCTGGGATTTCAGTAACCGAGCATCAGAAGTGCGTGTGAGATCAGTGGTTACAGCTTCAGCCCTGGCCAGCCAGCCAGTCTCTCCTCGCACTAAGCCTGCAGAACCACAGTACCCACAGGCTGCTCTGCACCGTGGAATGTGTCCCCCGAGTCTCCTGCGGCGCTGGGCCCACACTGGAGCCAGTTTTGCATAAGCGCCTTTTCCATTTTCAGCTTCATTACATCTAACGTGCAGTCCAGTCGTTTGCAGACAGGCCTGGGATGGCCTAATTAATGCTATTTCCAAGTGGATTCCACTTCTCCCTTCTCACATTCTCTTCTGAGAAATCAATGGCTCTCCAGCTTGGAGACACCAGGCCTCCGCCCCAAAAGTGCGCGTTGTGAAGTTTAAATGTACCATGGTCCTGGTCCTGCAGGGCACGCCTTGCATTGGAAGGGTGCTGTCTTGTACCCATGTGTGTCCCCTGGCACCGCCTGCTCCCCTTCCTTGCCCATCAGTTCAAGCACCAGGAGGATCCCCCATCTGGCCCAAGCGCCTGAGCTCTGGGATGGTAACCAGACCCTGCCTCGGGCGTCCAGATGCCAGGTGGAGGAAGCCTTGGGCTGCAGCATCAACCTATACTGAGTCCCCACCCCAGGTAGAATGTCTCCTTCCAGAGGGGGCGATCCTGAGTGCTGGGAGGTGCGGGCTGCAAGTAGGATTCCAGGGTCCCCATACACATGGTCACTCTGGGAAGGCCTGTGGCATTTGGGACCGGGTGACCCTCCCAGAATAAGTGGCAGGCAGGAGTCATAGGGGAGCTGCCAGGGCCCACCTGTGCACAGTGCACTTTGAGGCCAATGTCATGCCAGGTACAGAGGGAGAGCTCAGGGAGGGGCACAAGCTGACCTTTGACCTTAGGGTGCTAACCAGAACCATCTGCTCAGCCACGGCCATCAGATGTGAGGACCCATAGCAATTCATCAAGCATCAGCAAGCTATAGTGGACTGCTCACATCTTCACACTGAGGTGACCCCAAGGACAAGAGCCCGGGGCTTTGAGATGACAGTATGACAAGCGTCTGGGGACAGGGTCTCTGCCTGTGTCTCTTGCACTCTTCCTGGGCTCCACCTTCTTCATCTTCAGACACAGCTGATGGGGTGCAGCTCTAGGTGATGGTGCTGAGAGAGTGCTGGGGACAGGGTGGGCATAGTCTCTGGGCTGCCTGGAAGGCGGCAAGGGGCTCTGGGGGCTCGCTCTTCAGGCTGAGGCGTCTGAGCTTGGGTAGGCCAGAGGTGACAGAGACCTCAGGGTGTGAGCCTGGCTGCTCTCAGGACGCCTCCACCCTAGGGAGGCTGCAGCCTGTCCTTTGGAGTCTGCCTGGCATGGCCAGTGCATCTGTAGCCCAGGCCCCTGGGAGTGGAGGAGGAGGCAGCTCCAGGAACAGCGGCAGGAGCCCAGGAATTCACCTCTTTCCCACCATGGAGAGGCGCCCTCATTCCTGTGCCTTTCATAGGTTCTGCAGGGCCAGGAATGCTCTTCCAGGCCCTTCAGGGGAGCTCCTACCTCTTCTGTACAAGCGTGCACATCTCCCCTCTGGCTGCTGTCCCCTCCCTGGTGTCTCAGTGGATGTTCACCTTTCTCATGCCTCATTTTTAAGAGTTTGCAAGCCAGTGGAGACGGATTTACAGGCTTCACCCCCACTTTCCCATACTAGCTCTATTTGTCATTCTGTGCACTGTGGCCACGCTCCTCCTCGGGAGCAGGGACTCGGGACTGTCTGGCCTTGAGAGAGGACTCTGGTGCGGCATGGCTGGTGGAGAACCGTCCAGACTGTGAGCCACCCACACGCTGTCCACACTGAGGCTCCTGGACAGCTGGGCAGGGGGCATTTGGGTTCCACCTTAGGCGATCTGGGTGTCGGGATGGTTCCCCCAACACACCATGGCCTTGGCTTTTAAAAGAACATAGTCTGAATCATAAGCTTCTGCATCATGAGCAAAGAAATTGCATGGAGAAGGGTCTGCTCTGTTGGGCTCTTCCTCTGCCATTTCTATGCTCCTATCCTCGGGGACCCAGGGCAGCACCTGTGGGTGTGACAGGAGTGTGCTGACCTAGCTGTGTCTGCTCAGATCTGCAGCCTCATGAGAGGGGGCATTGCCGAGCGAGGCGGTGTCCGAGTTGGCCATCGCATCATCGAGATCAACGGCCAGAGCGTGGTGGCCACGGCTCACGAGAAGATCGTTCAGGCTCTGTCCAACTCGGTCGGAGAGGTAAGGCTGCCAGGCTGCCCTCCACGCTTTCACATTTTTGGAGCCGGGACCCCACACTTCTTCCATGACCAACACCTGACTGGTATGGTGTCTGACAGGCTTGGGGAAGCCATTGGTCCCTGCCCAGCGAACTTCCCCCTTCTTAGGACTTCCTGCCCCTGCAGGCCTTAGCCCCATCTCTGTTTACTGCTTTATGTTTTCCCCACCTGGACCTCTGCATTCACCCCCTCTCTGGGAGCCTCTGGGCATCAGCCGAGCTGGCCAGCCCATGACAGTGAACAGGGTGGCAGGCAGGGCTTGGCCGCCCCTCAGGCTCTCTTGAGCTGTGGAAGTGGACGTCTCTTTGCAGACAGGAGGTTACAGGCCTCTGTTTCAGGACCCTTGCACACCCATTGGGGGCCACCGCCTGCAGGCCTAACCCTTCGGAGAATGGGGCTCTGCCGCCTACACTGGGGTTGTGCCCTGCCTGCTGCCTTCCCAGCCAGAGCAAGGCTTTGGGGCCTCGTTACCTCTCCCTCCTCGAGTTCTTTCTGGCGTTGTTTCCCTGACGGAAGGAAGGTGGCTGAGGGTCCCGGGGCAGCGCAGTTGTCCTCAAGGAAAAGTGAATAGTGGCAGGGTGAGGAGCAAGAGGCCAGTGTGGGCAGTGCTGCTGCAGTGCACAGGAAGGCCTTTCTCATGTGAGTGGTGTGTGTGTGTGTGTGTGTGGAGAGAGATTGGGAGGTGAACTGAGGGAACGTATGTGGGAACGAGCGTGAATGTGTGTGAACTGGGTAGAATGGGGGTGTAGGGGTGTGAACGTGTGCATGGCAGTGTGTCAGGGCGCGGGTGTGCTGCACGTATGAGTGGGTGTGAATGGGCGCGTGTGTGGATATGAGTGTAGGAGGGTGGGAATCATGTGGGTGACTTTGAGTGAGGGTCTGTGTGGATGTGGACGCGTGTGGAAGAGGCCCCGGCCTCCATCTTCCCTGTCTGGGGTGGGTGGGGGCTGCTTCCTGAGGAGAGGCTCCAGCTCCCGCCCAGATCACAACTTCTCAGACTGACCTGTGACACTGGCATTTTGTAAAACTGCCAGGGATTGGGGAGAAGATTTTCCCTGGGATTTGGTGGTGCAACGGCTCTCAGAAGGAAGAGTCTGGGAAGTGCTGTTAGCTTCCTTTTACAAATGGCTTCCAAGAAAGGAAAATGCAATTTTCCTAAGTAGAGGCTCGGAAATGGCTGCCCCCATGGGAGCGATCAGCTTCACACCTCCCGAGAAATGGATCCAGTGGGAAGCCGGGCTGGGAGCCCCTGCAACGGCTCTGACTCTTCAGACCTGAGATGAATTGATATGCAGGGAGGCAGGACGTCAGGCTGAGGGGGTTAGAATCCTGTCAGCGCCGGGCCTCAGACCTGCCGGCAGGGCTGGGAGATTAATGTCTGCATCTCCATCACCCCTGAGCACATGTGGAAGATGAGCACTGATAATACAAGTCCTAGGCTGAGAGGAGCCTTGGGGACAGGTTTCAGTCTGAGGAATGATAGAGAATGAAATCTTTTGATGGAAAAAGCTGTCCAGGTGATGGAGGTGCAAAAGTCCGATTGGATGGATTGAGTTCTGATGGGGCAGAACTAGGCTGCCGTGCTGACCTGCCTGGGCTGGTCACACTGGAACGGAGGGCCCTGTGTCTGAGGAAGGACAGGCCTGGGGCCAAGTGGCCTGGGAAGCAGGGCCAGGCCAGGAGCCCAGTGTCAGCCAGATCTCCTAGGGTCACAGCCCACCGGAAGGGCCAAGCCGAGCGCCTGAACACAGCACGGTCCTGGTGGGCAGTGCTGCAGTGGCAACCTGAGAGCAGGGAAAGGGCAGCCACAGACCTCCCTTCTGTTTGCTTCTGTGGCTTCTACCCCGGACACCCCTTCTTCCCGACGCCCCCGAAGAGGGACTGCAGGGCTGATCTCCCTGGGAAGCAATCTCATGCCGTTGGCTGTGGACCCAGTCCATTTGGAGCAGGGAGGTAGGCAGGCCGCTGAGGGTCATGTGCTAAGTGATCCCCCAGGAAAGGAGAGCGATCTCTACCCCTCAGCGAGCTGGATCCCAGCCAAGAGCCCTCAGTTTAGCCAGCCTCAATTTCATGGGAAGGGGTGTGTGTCCTCCTCTGGGGGACACAGTGCACACCTCGTGATTTCTGGAGGATGCCCCCAGCCTGCCGAGTGGGCAAACGGCAGTCACTGATGGGTCCAAGTTCTTACCCTGCACCCCGCCATGTCAGCTTGAGCCCAAAGGAAATTACCATCTGGTGGTGTATAGAACCCTTTGAAGACAAGGTTGGGGAACCGAATCTGAACACGTGGCCCTCTGGGGTTCGGGCATCTATTGCTTGTTTTCACTGCTGGCACCAAGGGCAAGGAGGGAGGTGGGTGATGGGGGCTGATCAGCTCAGCCTCCTGTATCTGTTGACAGATTCACATGAAGACCATGCCTGCCGCCATGTTTAGGCTCCTCACGGGCCAGGAGACCCCGCTGTACATCTAGGCCCACCCAGCCTTTGCCACGGAGCTGGGGACGCCAGGCAGGGCCTGCTGCCCAGAGCTGGATGCCAGGACAAAGCCCTGACCCCTGACCCCACAGCCCAGCCAAGGACACTGGCTCCTCCAAAGGACATGCCCTTGCCACCCATTCTGGGGTTTTTGGTTTCTTTGTTTGTTTGGTGGGTTTCCAAAAAGGGTATGTCTTTATCAATGGAGAGTCGCAGGAACAAACCTTTGTAAAACATTCAAGTATTTTGCCACCTTCGGAACAGTTTCTCATTCACTGCGACTGACAAAGGGCATTTTTGGGTCCCTGTATGGTGTAGCGTGTGTGTTGCCCTCCCCGAAGCTGCAGAGAGTGAACGTGGGTGCCCACTCATGTGCCCGTGAAGGGGGCACTGGGGGACACAGCTCCAGGCAGTGGCAGCCTCTGTGGCTGGGACACCTGGTGTTCTGTGGGATCTGCACAGGACCCACACAGCTGCCTCTGCCACTGGTTCCCCAGGAGCGTGGACAAGTCCAGCTCCCAGGCCGTGACCTGTGCCGAAAGTGTGGGCACGTGCGACTGATGGTATTTCCCCAGAAAGGAGATGTTCCTGGGTTACATAAAGGTTCATGGTCACAGCTGTGAAACGCCATATTCATTCAGAGAATATCACCCACTCGGACTTCTGTTTTGGCAAGCCGTTCTTCAGACCTTCGGGGTTTTCCAATGACCTGCGACCAACAGCTGCTTCTCCTGTCCCCACCTGTTCTCTGCATCACCCAAGTGTCTGTGAACTTCCTGGGCACCTGCCCTCCCCACCGCTGCTCCACCGCAGGGCTCCCCGCCGGATGGGACATGCTGCTTCTGCTGCCAGGACACGGACAGTGGCATGGGCATCATACACACGTGCGCACCCCGGAAAACCTGACCTCTGCCCTTCTGAGGCCACCAGCTGTAAGCGCAAATCCCTTGGCAAGCCGGGAGCCCCCGCGGGGTGCAGGGTAGAGCGTGTGTGGATCGCGGCATACATCGACCGGTTCGGTTCATCGGAGATCAATGTCATCTGACGTCATTTTGTCTGGAAGTCTCTTTTTTTTGGCCCAGGCCTTGAAGAATACACTGTGACTTAAGAAGCCTTACCACGCAGTAACTAAAGCTTTAGGATTACTGTACTCGAGGAGTAACCTGTGTGTTGCATGCTGCTGACCTTAGGAAGACTTCGCGCATATCACTAATAAACCTGAAGTCATGAAGAAACCGTGCTCTGGCTGTGGGTGGTCTGTGACCGAGCACGCATGCCCAGCCGCCTCTCTCCGCCCACTCTGGATGTGGCTCCGCCCTCCCCAAGTCTGGGGGTGGATGTGAGGTCACCAGACCAGCTCCAAGTTCTCCACTCCCCTGGCCCATGGCTCCAGGCTACTGGCTAATTAATAAAGGAGATGCAGAAACTTGGGTTCCTCCAGATTTAAATGTAAATTAGCTCCAGGAGAGATATGTGTGCATGTGGTGTGTGCGTGCGTGCGTGCGTGTGTTTGTAGCAGAAAACTGGGCCACTTTCTCCACCCCTCTCTTCATCCCCGTGGGTCCTTCGTAGCCTGTGGAGAGTAATAATGGGACCATCGCTTCATTTCTCCATGGCCTAGTCCTGCTTTGGCTTAGAGAGGCCAGGAGATAAACCTGAGCTTTAGCCCCTCAGGCCAGAGGGGAAGGTTCTAGCCCTGTTAGCAGCAGCACCCCTCCTCTCCAGCCCAGTCATAGCTGTGCCTACTTCACCAACCTGAACTACTGAGCCTTTACTACGAAGTGCCTTCATGGCCTAGGGTTCGGGGGAACTACAAAGTCAGCTGACTTGTTCCTGTGTGGCTACCTGAAGGATTCAGCAACTCAGGACCTTAGCCACTGGGGCCACGTAAGAAAGTCTGACAGGGTGAACTCCCACTCTTGGGTTCTTCCAGAAAGGATGTACAGGAAAGTCAAGGAAAAGTGCTCAGTAAGAAACTCCAATAGGAAGGGCAGCAGGAGGCCCACCCCAACGCGCACACACCATATGCTGAAGAATTAAAAGCCAAATAAAATTCTTCACTTTGTTGAGAAAACACAAAATGCCAGGCAGTGTGGCCCTCGCCGTTGGGAATGGAAAGGACCATCTGCTGGGCAGGGGCAGCAGACTGGAGGGGCCTCAGCTCAGGAAGACAAGTGGCCCAGGTGGGGTCTCAGGCCCAGGCTCCAGGAAGGAAGTCTGGCAGGTGACACGGGGCACAATGCCCACCAAGATGCACATTAAAAACAGCTCATCTCTGAACTTGTCTGAAGGCTTGTCTTGCTCCCAGAAGCCCATGAAGGATGTCCATGGAGGTGCACTGGGGGTCAGTATGAGGAGGACCTCGAGCCTCTGGGGCTGCCTCCCCTGCAACCCCTGGACACAGCTGCTCCAGGGAGCACAGCTGGGCAGCTGTCGGAGCCCCCCCATGGAACAGCCACAGACAGGGAGAGCGACCCGAGCCCCCCCAGAACCCTACTATTGGCCAGCAGTGCTCACAGCCTATCTCTGTCCCAGTGAGACCTCAGAGACACAGAGACCAGAAATACTTTTTATTAAAACACCAATCATTATTAAAACACCTTGAGGTTCATTAAATAAATACAACCTTTCCAGTTGTACAAACAGGTCTCTTGAGGCTTGAAAACAATTTCCTATACATTCTGCCTCAGCAGCATCTGTGAGTTGAGAAGGGGAAGAAAAAGAACATTCAAAATAAACTCATGGTGCGTCACAAGCATTTCATTGTACTGTTTGTCTCCAGCCAAAGGAGACCTGAAGTCCTTGCAAATGATGTCCCCCTTGTTTGCCTGGGAGTTAGGGTCCGGAGTTCACCACCCTCGGTCCCTGGCCCGAGTTAAAGAGCATTGCCGTAGCAGGACCCAGGAAAGCTGAGGTGAACAACTGCCTCAAAAATGGCCAGTCAGCTCTTTCACCCACCCAAACAGGAAGCTGAGGACAGGTTTCCAGAAGGGACGGACACAAGTGTGCTGGGGAGGAAGCCAGCTCTCCGATGTCTGGAAGCCCATTGCTGCTTGCGGTCTGGGGTTGCTGCTGGGGATTCCAGTCCCAGAAGGCTGCCGGTCCAAGTTGGGAACGAGAGATGAAGGGTCAAGTTGCCAGCATCCTGGTGGCTGTCACTGGCACCTGTGTCCCCTGGGGACCACCTCCTGCAAGTTTGAAGCTCAAAGCTTCTTAGTGCCCACGTGGGTGCCCAAGACCTAGAAGGTGGACCAAGGAGAGCCCATCATGCCTGACAGCCTTGTTTCTTTCTAGAAGGCAGAAGGTTCCAGCCCAGATGTAAAGCTGGGCACCACTTCTTTATCCATAAGACAGAGTTCTGATGGGAGCAGACACAGGACTGAGCATAAGTGGGTGCATGGACACAGCTTTCTTAAAGAGTTTAGGGTACCGAGGAGGCTTCCAGGCCACAGCATCGGCCCACACCTGCAGGGAGACAGCCTGGCCCAAGAGCCCCGGATGGCACATTACAAGGCCCTGCTGCAGGAGGTGACGGGGAGGACACAGCACCAGGCTGGCCTGCCCACGGCCACTTCTCCTGTACCCTCCAGGAACTGAAGCAGGGGGATGGGACTGGCCTCCCCTTGGGTTGTAGCCTGGTCTGAGATTTGTGGGTTTAGCCCAGCCAAGGACTCGGCTCTGAGACACTGCTGCTACAGGGGCCCCCTAACTAAGCACCCCCTGCAGCTGGCTGCGGCCCTGCCCAACTCCGGTGAAGATGATGTGAATGCTCTGGATCCAAGACCAAGGCACCGGGATGTGAATTCTCCAGTTTGTGGGCTCAGGGGAGGCCATCCTGAAAAACCAGCAGTTTTATTAGTGGAGGGACTTGCTTTTGGGAACTTCAAAAGCTATCACTTGAGAAAAATTAGAGAATAGATTTCCCATTTTACAGTGTGAATAAAGTGCTCATAAATGCATCTCTAGTATGTCTCCCATGGAAAAGGTAAGATTGCCATCAAAAAGCCCGATTTATACTTGTTCAGCTGTCTCACTTCAGGGAGACAGTAACCAATGACAATAGGAAAGCAATCAGGGCATCAGCAACTGAACATCGCTGGAGATTCCTATGCCACTGAAGGCTTGGAAGCCACCCGCCATGTTGGCTCCAAAGGAGAGGGAGGCTGAAGACGAGCAAGGGGAGGAAGGACTCAAGGACAGGCACAGGCCATGAGTCACAGGAAAGAGCTGCATCAGCCCCAAACGGCACGGAGCAGCAGCAGGCACCGTCCTGATCCACTGCCGAGACCTTTTATGTCAGGCCACGGCTCTGGGCTGCTTTGTCCAAAGTAGGTGACACTGGCCACAGTTCAAGGGCTCAATGGTCCACGTGCTAAAGGCTGCTGTTCCGCAGGGTCCAGACACAAGTGTTTCCAGCAGGGCAGGACCTTCTCAGTGTGAGGAAGCTGCCAGAAAACGAGGGACTGGGGGAGGCCAAGAAAGTCAAAGGCACCCAAGTTGTGCCCAAGCTGGGCTCACTTGCTTCTGCATAACCAGTGTAGTGGGTGTTCTCGTGGAAATGAAGAACTCAGAATCCATGCCTGCCGGTGCTAGTGTGTCTGCTGCCACCTGGCGGAAGGAGAGACCGCTCTGGGTCCTGAGAGAGCTGCCTGTTTAAGCAGGAGGTTCAAAGACCCAGAGAAAAAGGTCCTGTTCCCCTGGAATTTGATCTAGGTCAATCAGGCAAGGTTGGATACCAAGGGGAAACTCCCAAAGGGGCGCGGGGCAGGTGCTTATTCTGGGGCAAATAAGAGCTGGAAGTGTCTGCTGTTAGAGGGAGGGAGGCTGGGGATAGGGGAGTCTGGGGAAGAGGCCCACAGATGGGAGGCCTCACTGGGGAGCCCTGGGACCCAGGGACTCTGGTGGGTCCCTCAGAGCCCTCGTGATACCTGCCTGCCTCCCAGAGGAAGGCCACAGGGGCTGCCCACTGGGTACCTGTCTGCACGACAGCTCTGAAGCCCTAGACCTAAAAAGCTGGGCCCAGGCCCCTGTGCTAAAATTAACTATTTCCTTTTAAAGGAAATGAGAGGTCAGAACATGATAAAGGTTTCATTACAGAGTGATATAAACCACGTGGGAAAATGGCTGTTACTTGATGTTGTCCTCCATCTACTTAACATTAAACTAAATTGAAGATGGAGGAGAAGCCTCCTCTCACAGCCCTGACCTGGAAGATTTGCAGTGTCTTTAAGTTGCATGAGGGTCCCCTGTTGCTGCGTTGGTGTTCATGTCACACTGGTCAGTTCAAGATGTCTGATGGAACCAAAGCGCTCTAAGGACACCAGAGTTATCCGTCGGGATTTCTGGAGCAGGTAGCGAATACAATCCCCAGTAAGACAACCGATGGATCCACTTAGAGACAGATGGACAGTTCTGCTCCCGAGCCACCCCACGACATGCCTGGGTGCTCCCCACTTGTCCTCTGCCATGCCAGGCTGAAGGCCCCTCTGTCATCACACACAGTGGCTTCTGGCCGAAACAGACCCATCAGCATCCACGTTCACGCCATGGCTACTTCACAGCTGGTCCGCGACACTGGCACCAGAGCTGGCCTCCTCCACTGGGCGGTCCTCAGAGGCGACCATGGAGCAGATGGTCCCCACCATGTTCCGCACCTCAGAAGGGCGGGCACAGTGCGAGTGTTCCAAGAGTTTAGCCACCAAAACCCTGGTGTCTGCATAGTTCTTGCTGTCCACTAACGAACGGGGTCGCTCTTTGGAGACCGTCTGTAAGGCCTCTGGCTTTGACTCTTGGTTGATTTTCCAGGTTGCGGGGTCCCTGGGGGATGGGAGCTGGCACTGACAAGCAGCCATGGCAGAGTGAGACACAGAAACTGAAAGTCAAGGGGAAAGACACAGTTTGAAAACAACCGGAAACCAAACCAAACCAAAGGCCACTCTGAAACTGTTCAGGAAGTGAATCAAAGCATGGGGAGGACAGGCTTTCTGCTTAGTTTCCTGTGTTTCTGAGCCAGCACCTGGGTATGCCTGTTTCCCAGCTCAGCCAAGAATTAAGCTAGTCTTAACCTTAAGGGGCTGCAGCCTCCGGGAGCTGAAGGACTGAAGGTGGGGGTGGGGAGTTAGAGGCCAGGCAGTCTGGAGTATGGGCCGGCACAGGGCTGCTAGAATTTCTCCTGCTAGAATTTCTGAGCTAGCGTCCTTCTCAGCCTTCCCCAGCTCCATCACCTTTGTCCCCCTGGGTGTGTGTGCCGGTTGGGCAGAATCAGGATCTGCCTTAAGACCAGAACTTCCTCCACCACCCCGGGTGTGGACAGTAGCCACCTCCATGAGTCCTGTCCCCGATGCCCACCAGGCCAGGGGCTGGGGACATGGCTCTGTGTCGTCCGCAGAACAAGCACTGGTCAGATTGGCACCTCGGAGGTAGCCAGCTCCAGGCAGTCACCAAGGACCACACCAAGACCCAGTCACGACAGGAGGTCTGTTCTTGACTCTTGGATGGCAACAAGTCCAGAATTAACCTGAGATACTGTAAAAGCCTCCCACATTGGGCCAATCAATGCCCTAATAAAATCTCATTAACGAAGTGAAATAAGCAGCCTGACAGATGCGGAATGCATCCTGGCCTCTGACACAACCGCGCAGAGCACCGGCCTGGAGCTCGCATTTGTGTGGCAGTGGAGGAGCTGGCTTTGGAGGCAGTGCAGCGGGGACCCAGGGGTCACAGCCCCGCTTCACAGCAGGGTGATGTGGAGGCCTCCCCTGTCCCCACAACAGCCCCAGACTGTCTCATTTCATGGTCCTGGCTGCACGGGGGGGGGGGGG